ACTGGGGTAGGAAGAATTTGGGTATTGTGGAGGAAAGATCTAAAGTTTGATATTAAAGAAAGGACTGGTTTTTAAGTGCATGGGATGCTGACAGAGCAAGAGCCAACACAGTTTACTTTCATATATGTGTCAAATGAAGTCAATGAAAGGCAGCAAATGTACCAAGAACTAAAGTCGAAGGTGGATCCATCACTTCCTTGGCTAGTAGTAGGAGATTTTAATGCAATTCTGAATAGCTCAGAGTCTTCAACCTCAGGGACACTAGGGGAGAGTGCCTCCCAGTTCTCTACCTGGATAACAGACATGAAGCTGATAGATCATAGAGTCCTAGGACCTTGGTACACATGGTCTAACAAGCAGGAGGAAAACCCTATAGCGAGAAGATTGGACCGAGCTTTAGTCTCGGAGAGCTGGCTGGAGACCTATCCTAGGAGCAGTGTCAGAATCTTGTTACCTGGCTTGTCCGACCACTGTGGAGTCTTGGTCAGTCTAGATTCAGGGATCAAAACCTTACCAAGACCATTCAAATACTTCAGCTTCTGGAAATTGCACCCTGACTATGAAAGGCTAGTCACAGAAGGTTGGGTTTGCCCCACCACAGGCTCTGCCATGGCAAAATTATATCAGAAACTGCGAAACATTAAAGGTAGATTGCGGAAGCTTAACAGAGAACACTATTCAGATATACACGAGAGGGTTAAGATGGCGTGGCAGGAATTAACTAGAGCTCAGTTAGAAGTGTTGGAGCGCCCTGCCTCCTCAGCATTCCAAGCTGAGAAGAGGTGCATGGTCCAGCTTCAAGAGCTCCAGCAGGCTGAGGCATCCTATAATCAACAGAAATCAAGGCAATCTTGGGTGAATAGTGGGGACTCAAACTCTGCTTTCTTTCACAGTATGGTTAAGACTAGGCAAGCAAAGAACACTATTAGACAGTTGATTTCTGACTCTGGAGCTGTTTTGGAAGATATAGAAGAAATAGGTCAAGAGGCTATTCAATTCTATAAAGGCCTACTGGGAACAAGAAATGGGGAATTGAAGAGAGTCACAGTTAGTACTCTAAGGCAGCTGCTGGTTCATCATTTGGTAGAAGGGGAAAGTGCTGGTTTATGTGACTGTGTTGCAGACGATCTGCTTGTGTTTACTAAGGGTACAGTAGAAGGTGTGACTGTGATTGCAGATATTCTTCAGAAGTTTTACTTAGTTTCTGGTTTGCAGTGTAACCCTAACAAAAGTGAGATATTTAGTGCTGGGGTGACAGAAGAATTGCAGAATGCTCTGGTGCAACACTCAGGTTTTAAAGAAGGTGCATTGCCTGTTAGGTACCTCGGTTTGCCACTAAATGCAGGGAAGTTGACTGCGGCAGACTGTCAAAACCTAGTTAACAGAATAGCTGGAAGAATCCAGGGTTGGCAACCCAAGCTTCTATCCTATGCAGGTAAGATTGAGTTAGTAATCTCTGTGCTGGCTAGTATGACTCAATACTGGATGCAAGTGATCCTTCTGCCTAAGAAGATTATCAAAGAGATTGAGAGTCTCTGTTCACAGTTTCTTTGGGGTGAGCTGGAGAGAAAGAAGAGAGCTAAGGTTGCCTGGAAAACAGTGGCTCTTCCTCGTGTTGAGGGTGGAATGGGATTCAAGGATCTGCATTCATGGAATAAGGCCTGTCTTGTTAGACATTTTTGGGGAATTCTGGCTATGCAGGAGACTTTGTGGATTGCTTGGCTACATGCTTACAGGCTTAGACATCAAAGCATATGGGAAATTCAAACGAGAGGATCTTGGATATGGAATAAAATACTGAAAATTAGGGACTTGGTGGCAGGGAGATTATATCTGACCGATAGAGGTATTGAATGGGATGGAGAATTAATGCAGCACTTTAAAATAAGCAGAGTATGGCACAGTTTGAGACCCAGAGGTAATCTAGTGCAGTGGTCAGAATTGGTTTGGAAGGGTGGTATCCCAAAGAATTCAGTGTTGACTTGGCTTGTTCTGCTAAATAGAGTCAACACACTGGACAAGATAAGTCGTTGGAACCCCAATGTCTGCACCCTCCGTCCCCTGTGTGGGTGTTCTGACGAAACTAGAGATCACATATTTTTGGTAATAAGTGAGGTCTGGAGGGAGCGTTGCCGAAGGCTATATGGCCAGAGAAGGCTCACAGTAGAAGAATTGGTCCAGAAAATGCAGATGGTGGTGGAAGCAAAGGTACAAGGTGATCTGGTTTTTGCAAGCTCCCCAGCTATTCAGAAGCTCTGGTATATGGAGGAACGTTTCGGTGGTGGTTGATAGTGAGTGAGAACCCAATTACTTGTACATTTTAGTTGGTTAAGAGCTATAAGGGCTCTTTGTTGATTGTTTGTAGACTTTTGGATCGTATTTGATGAATAAAATCCACCCATTCATCGGGAAATTGAGATTTAGTATTTCTTGGCAAATGTGTGTGGGGGGAGGGGGAGGGGGGATTTTTTTGACTAAAAAATTTGAGAAAGGGTTGAAACTCATATATCATTTGTTTGAATATTGAATATTGCATATTAAATTGGAGTATTGAACATTTTGGAAGCGATATACAATTCTTAAATTAGTATTAATTTTCAGCCCGGTTGACCAATAGCCTTAGACCTTTTGCTAATCTGACATGGATCCAATAATTATAAGATGAGATTTAGTTTGATATGGCGTCAGTTCAAAACCATTTTTTATGTGTAATGAATTTGTACGACAAATACATGTAAAGTGAAGATGAACCTGGTTATGCATTTTTTATTCTTTAAATAAATATAATGATTTAAGGCTTTAAGCGATGAACTAACTATATACTCACTCGATTTGTTTGACGAGTTTTGCTTTTTATCATTTTTAATAATTAGTTTATTCACAAGCTATCAAACTATTTTGCTCCGTCGATGAATAAGCGACCATCTATTCGCCAGGTTTCAGGTGCTCTGATTCACACTATCGACTGTGAATGGAGAAGAAGCATTTCGAATGCAAAATTGGAAAAATAATTGGGATGTTTCTAGGTTTCTCTCGATTCTAGGCAGTGGGAAGAAAGAGAAAGAGAAAAGGGGGAGAGTTGTGAGATACAAAGCTGAGAGAGAGTGAGAGAGAGAGATGGAAGAACAAATGAAAAAACAAAATGGAAGGCAAAGAGAGAGGAAAATGTGGTAGTGTGAAATAATTGCACTTCTATTTTGATTAGTGAATATTATTGGCCCTATTCTATTGAGTTTTGATTTATTTTAGGAGATGACATTATATTTGACATATTTTTTCCATTTTAATTTAAAATCCTAAATCCATATTATCATTTGGAAGATTTTTTCCTTTATACGATTATTGTAATTTATGAGATTTAAGAGGTATTTGATAATGTCAATATTTTAGTGGTTTTTTATTTAAATTTTGTATTGAAAGATCGTACGTATCGGCGGTTAGACCATAAAACTTCACATCATACGCTAATAGATAGCTAATATTTAACAATATGGAACAGTTGAACGACAGTTAAATTATGACTTCAGTATAAAATACTCTACTACCAACTTTTTCGATACAATTTTACAATCCTTTGGTTCAAAATGCTCTTTTACACTGGTGGAAACAAAAGTTTTAAGGCATATTTTGAACTATCTATTGCAAAAAAGCATAAGTCGGTTAGCGATAATGAGCATATGCGATCTCATGTAACCCAAAAGATACTTTGCAACTTCTATCTTTTTAAAATAAATGTATGCTTCTCATACCCTCGCTCATTCATCAACTAAATGAGTAACATATATTTCATGTAATATTATTTTGGGTTATAGGTATAATATGCCCCTCTACTATGACGTTTTATCAAACATGTCCCTTTACTATATTTTACATCAAACATGCCCCTGTACTTTGTAAAAATTATCAAACATGCCTTTTTGTTAAAATTTTCATCCAAAAACCGTTAATCATGGTCAAAATTTGGTTTGGGCGACACAAATGTCTAAAATATGCCTAATAATTTCACTTTAGAATTTTTTTGGTCCTTTTGTACAGCTAAATAATTCTAATAATTTCACTTTGACGAGACCCAGAGAAATAAAACAGGGGACAAAACTGACATTTTCACTCCCATTTGCCGATGTCGGGTCGCCTAAATCTCGGTTCAACCATGATTGATAATTTTTTCAATGTAAATTTTAACAGAAGGGCATGTTTGATAATTTTTCCAAAATACAGAGGCATGTTTGATGTAAAAAATAGTAGAGGGGCATGTTTGATAAAACGTCATAGTAGAAGGGCATATTATACCTATAACCCTATTATTTTTATACGTTTTTATTTATTGAGTTATTTCATGAAAAAAATATTTGCTACATAAAATTACTACATTGTTATTTGACATGTTTGCGATCTGAGAATAATTTGGGAAATCCATACACAACACATTGTCCAACTAACTATTAGCGACAACTTAACATCATGTCATATATATTTCAAATCAAGCAACTTCAAATTTATTACCAACATTTTGGTAAAAAAGAATACTCTCTATTGACAAAAATTTAAAGGACATACTAAACTCTATGAGACATTTTCTTTCATCCTAAAGATTTAGTATGTATTATGAGAAGCAACTCTAATATTCAATTATATGGTTTATTTAAGTAATGAATGACAATTAGTTATATTTTTTATTCATAATTATATGTAATGCTTATATTATATATTTTTTCTCTTTTCATGGAGGTCTAAACATATTATGCTTAGTTGGATCACTTTCAAAAATGTTATGTATATAACTAAGATAGAAAACCATCATGCATTTCAAATCATTTATTACATCCATTATTATATATCATATTCATCGACAAAATTCTTCCGACCAACAGACCAGACCATGTGCGAGTAAGCTAGTGTAGAGTTATCTCTGTAATTTATTCAATTATTTGATCTTGGCGCTTCTGTTTTTTTTTTTTTTTTGCCAAAAGATATCATGTATTGATCGAAAACATAGACAGTTACATCCTGGAAACCAGCCAGGTCTGGAAATCAAAAAAGCGACTCATAGTCGGATACAAAGAGAGGCCTTTCCTAGCTACCAAATGAGCTACCCTATTGTTCTCCCGACCTACAAAACGCACACTAAAACCCGGTTGAGCACGAAAATAAAGAACAATCTCTTCCAGAACAGCACCCAACCGGCTATCCCTTGTGTCGGCTTGATTAATTTTGTCAATAATCACCTTTGCATCACCCTCAAACCGAACCTCCGACAAACCCTGCTCCATACACCAAATAATAGCATCCCTAAGGACAAGTAATTCCACCATGCCAGGGTCATCCAAATGAGAAAACTGTACCCCTCTAGCCATAAGGAGCGTTCGTGCAGGGTCTAAAAGAACCATCCCACCCGCCGAATGTGACCCACCCTTAGTAGCTCCGTCCCACATGCAAACCAAATGGGGCTCAGTCCCTTGTGCGGCAAATTGAGTTCTCGGGATGGGATCCCTAGACGCTTGGTCCACTGGTAAAATCACCCATTCCTCATACTGCTGGTTAAACTGGCGCATGAGTACCGGGATCGCAAATTGTTTGCCTTCAAAAACAACCCAATTCCGGGACCGCCAGATCCTCCAAAGGACGGCAACCACCGCCATCACCAGTGACGGCTGACTAATCAAGCCCAAAAGACGTTTAAAAAACAAAGGAAAAGTATGCCGAGGCAAACCCTCCCCCAAGTATTCCAGTCCTGAATAATTCCAGAGAGCTCGCGCAACCGGACAGTAGAGAAATAGGTGTTCCATCGTTTCCGGGCCATCCCAACAAACCGGACACCGAGAAAGCACCTGAACCTTCTTCTCAAAGAGCGCCTCCATAGTCGGCAGAGCCCGATTCAGAATTTTCCAAACAAAAACCTTCAACTTCGGAGGGATCTTCGCCTCCCAAACTCGAATCCAACTTGGTTTATCCATCCAGGTAGCCGAGGATCGCCACCCACCCCTCCTTCTATCCAAATCAACCGCCAAATGGTAAGCTGATTTAACAGAGAAGACCCCATCGGTCGTAAAATGCCAAATAAGCTTGTCAGGGACATCCCAACGCGGGAGAGGAATAGTTTTAATAGCCTTACAGGTGGGTGGATCAAACCATTGACTAAGCTTTTCATCAGACCAGCTCCCTCCCCCCTCACCAATAACCTCCGCAACTAAGGGATCATCCCCTTCCGGCAAGATCCGTGGATTATAGCAAGGGGGATCCAATTGGCACTTTGGAATCCAGCTGGAATGAAGGAGGGAGATCGATTGGCCATTACCGACCTGCCATCTTAACCCTCTCTCCATCAACTGGCGCCCATGCAGGATACTTTGCCACCCCCAAGAGGGACGAGACCTAGCAGTCGCGGTCAGAAAAGACCCTTGCGGGAAATACTTGCCCTTATAGATCTGGGCAATGAGAGAATCGGGTTCATTGAGAATACGCCAGCCTATCTTAGCCAAAAGAGCTTGGTTGAAATGCTCAAACTGACGAAATCCCATCCCCCCATCATGCTTACTCCTGCACATATTACGCCAGGACACCCATCTAATCTTGGGAGTACCATCCTCCGCACCCCACCAAAAACGGACCACATTCTTATCTAACAGGCGACAAAGCGCCAAGGGTAGCCGGAAACAAGACATGACATGAAGGGGAAGCGCCAATGCTATGGATTTAATCAAAGTTTCCTTAGCCGCCCACGATAAAGTCCTTTGCTTCCACCCCTGAAGTCTCTCTAGGAGCTTGTCCTCCAAATATCTGAAAGTAGCCATTTTGGATCGAGCAACCAGCGTTGGAAGGCCCAGATATTTATCATGGATCCCCACCGCACCAACACCTAGAATCGCAGCCAAGAACTCCTGGTCTGGTACGGATATATTCTTACTAAAGCACACCGCTGATTTCTCCAAATTAACGCGTTGACCACTCAGTTCCTCATATTCATTCAGCACCGTAATTAGATTCTCACACTCCTGAAGCGAGCCTCGCAAAAATAAATAAGAATCATCCACAAAGAACAAGTGCGAGACCCGTGGAGCACAGGGGGCTACTTTCACTCCCTCTAATTTTTTCTCCGTGATTGCCTTTCGGAGGAGGGCTGCAAATCCCTCTGTGAAGAGCACAAACAAGAGCGGAGAGAGCGGGTCCCCCTGACGAAGGCCCCTAGAGGCAGAGAAATACCCCGAAGGTGTACCATTCATCAGGACCGAAAAAGATGATGAACGGAGGCATTCATGTATCCAACCCCGCCAGACTGAACTAAAACCCATCTTATCCAAAACTGCAAGCAGGAAGGGCCATTCGACTCTATCATAGACCTTTTCCATGTTAACCTTCAGAGCCATGTACCCCTTCTTCCCTTGCTTTTTTATCTTCAGATAATGCATTAGTTCATGTCCTATAAGGATGTTATCAATAATCTGCCGGTCTTTGATAAACCCATTTTGGCCTTCCGAAACAATGTGAGGAAGCATACTAGCCAGCCGTTCAGCCATGATTTTAGTAATCACTTTATAAACAAATTGGCAGAGACTAATCGGGCGCAATTGCTTAATTGTCTCCACTGACTCCACTTTAGGGATCAAAGTGAGCCAGGTATGGTTAAAGCTCCGCAGCATCCGACTCGAAGTAAAGAAAGAGATTACAGCTTCCACCACCGAAGTGCCCACAATATCCCAAAAAGCTTTAAAGAACTTCCCTGTAAATCCATCCGATCCCGGGCCTGTTTCAAACCCATGGCAAAGACCGTACTCCGGACCTCACTAGGCAAAACCTCTGCCGTCAAATGAGCATTCATTTGTGGAGTAACACTATGTGCAATCGGCAAAGATGCCACCCTCTCGGCCAGATTAGGAACCTGCGACTCCGAGCTAAACAGGGTCTGGTAAAAGTTGGTGGCAATCGTAGCCTTTTCAGGTTCCGTAGTGACCCAGTCACCCTCCTCATTCCGAAGCCCGGAGACAAAATTCCTCTTCCGCCTAGCCCTTGTGACCGTATGAAAGTAGGCAGAATTTTGATCTCCTTTTTTTAACCACTTAACTCTGGATTTTTGCTGCAAGAAGACCTCCTCCGCTTCCCACTGACGGGAGAGCTCTGTTTCCAGGGTCCTGATCACATCCCAATCCACCGGGTGAATCAATTTTATCCTTTCTATTTCAGCTTGGAGCGTCTTGATATTGCGCAGGGAATTAGTCGTGCCAGCCCTGCTCCAATCATATAGGAGATGATGGAGTTTCTTTAAGCGTTCCCACAGTCGAAACATAGGGGTGCATCAAACCGGAAAAGTGGCCGAGTAGTACGAACATATGGTTTATCAGCAAGGAGAAGTGCACGATGGTCCGATCCCTGATCCGTGAAATGCTTGACAAGAGTCTCCGGGTAGGTATCCATCCAAGATTGAGAGCAAAAAGCTCTATCTAGACGTGCACGAATGCAAGCATCGCCCATGCGCTTATTAGTCCAAGTAAATTGATCCCCCTGGTAACCAGGGTCATGAAGACCCAACTCATGAACAAACTCACGGAGACTAAAAGCTTGGGCAGCATTCCACGCCCTCCCCCCATCTTTTTCACTTTCGTGCAAAGTAGCATTGAAATCGCCAATGATCACATAAGGGTGATTGATATTTGCACAAACATTTCTCAAATGAGCCAATTGGGTTGCTCGAACAGCAGCATGACAACTAATATAAACAAAGATCACTACATAAGAAAAATCACCTTCATTGATTTGCGAACAAATATAGAAATGAGAATGACAAAACACCGAAATGTTAACCCCGGGGGCCCAAGCTACTACTAATCCTCCCGATGCATCGACTGCATCAACAAAAAAACAATGCGAAAAAGGAAAGCCTAAACCCCGCATACGACGGGACACTACACGCCGGCTCGATCGAGTTTCCGGAAAAAAAACGAGATCCGGTTTATTAGAATGCACAAGCCCTAAAGCAGTTTGAAAGGTGAGGGATGGCCCAATTCCTTTCACATTCCAGGCCAGAATCCTCATTTATCACCTTGGGGCCACTCATGGCTGGCTTCCTCCACCTTTTCCAGATCATCAGATGATTCCACAAATTGCTTCTTCGGGGTAGGGGGATCACCCACCTCCCCATCCAACTCCTCGAGCACCCGCTTTCGATTCTCCACTGGTGGGTCCATGAGATTAGTCCCATATTCATTGAGAGTCGAGCGAGGCCCATCAATAGGTATCTCCTCTGCTTGAGCAAAGACCAACCCAGCTTCAAATGCCTCAACCACGCGGTGAACACGTCCAGTCAAGCCTTTTGGAGTCTCCATGGAGACTCCACCTGGTGACCTTCTCTTGATCTCGAATGGAAGGTGCTCGTCATTCGACTGATCATCCTCTGAATCGTTGACCTGCTGTTGGCCCTCATGATTTTGAGCGGGTACAACCTCCTCATCCACCAATTCCTGCGGAACATCATGAGGAGTCGATCCCCCATCCTGCTTCAACATAGCTCGAAAGCATTCAGCTCCTCCCTTTTTTAGTCGCGGGCGAGCCCGTTGCACCACACTGCCAACTTGAGAAGATCCCTTTAGTTGACCCCGTGGGTTCTCCAGGGGTTGCTTAGCTTGAGCAGCCTCCACTCCAACCAACTCTTCCTCCTCTGATTCCTCTTGTAGGATCAGTCGTCGCCTTCGGGAATGTTCAAGAACATCCTCTACCTGATCCTCTGTACTTAGTCGGTTGGACACTTTCTTGACTCGTCGTCCACCCTGCTGACGACCTTGGAGCTCTTCCGAGTAGGGGGTGCCACCCCTCTGGGTGACCATTTCTTTTGATGCAGGCAGACCCCACCACCAACCTTCACTCGAGGTGAGGCCTTGAAGACCATCTGTTTAGGACTGGCACCATTCCCTGTCAGCTTCTGCTTAGGCTCCTGCAACCGAGGTTGCGTCTCCTTCTTGTCATGGAGATCATGTTCCCCTATAAAAGGTTTAGTCTCCTGGGCAAAGTATCGAGCGGAAGGAGCCGGGCGTTCTCCCATATCACGAGCTCGAGCAGGCTTCATGGTCTTTGCAGCCCCATCCTCACGCCTTTGAGCATTCTTATTTACCCACACCGACTTACTAGCATTATGAAACTTCAGATATTCCTCCTCCTCAATGTATATTTTCCTCCCCAGCTTCCTTGTGGACATGTGTGGCCCAAAGCGTTCTTTACCCAAGGGTGGAGCAAAATTACATTCAAGTTTGGCATGCCCCACGCGGCCACAGAGATAACAGAAAGTTGGCAGATATTCGTATTTGAAATTGACCCAGAATTCACCAAGCTCGTCACTAACCGCCTTGATTTGAGACCTCAGTGGTTTAGTAAAGTCAATGAGGACGTGCACTTTGATAAAGCACTCCTCTGTTTCCCTAGATGTGAAGACATCAGCTTCCAAGACTTGACCGATTGTTCCAGCTGCAACTTTCCTGCCAAATTGTTTAGTGCAGCAATCCTCTTTCACGTTCCAAAGTTGGACACGAAAGGGTGCAATGGCCAAGCCATCGAAGATCGGCCTTGTGATTGAAGGCGTCCAGGACCGGAGGTGAAGAATCCTATCCTTAACAATCCAAGGAGTTCTCTTTAGGATCCAAATCCTCGTCTCCTCACTTGGGAGAACAATCTCAAATAGGCCATACTTAGTGACCGAAACCCTAAGGTTTCCTTGCACCCTCCATGTCTCCACCAAGCCCTCCCGCAACTCACTAGGAGTAAAATTGGTTTCCGAGAACAACCTTCCCAAAAGTGTTCTTGATGTTCGGAATTTCACCGATTGGACCTCTTCGAGCGTGAATTCCACCACCTGATTTGCCGCTATACGTGCCATATTAGCAACCTGCCACATAGGGTTATGAAGTAAATTAGTCTCATCAGAATGAAACATTCCAAAATCAACTAAATGATAATGCAACTGTGCACAAAGGGAATTAGCCACGAAGGCCCGCGTATCCCAAACAAAAATCGGCCCCATCCCACAGTTGGCGGCCCAATAACCCTGGGACGGGTCGAAACCCATCGGCAACTCCATCATCTGCAGGGTCGGCGGGGTTGGAGGAGCCTGTCTCTGGCCGGAAGCAGCAGGCTGAAATCCCAGCAGCCCAGAAGGACTTGAGCACCCTGCTATCAACCGGAGTTCCGCCGCGGAGGATTCCATAGGTTCGGTATTAGAAGAGAAAGGAAGAGGCTTGGAAGAATCCCCCATACCTGACAGAGAAGCACGATTCGAGTGCTGCAGCAGCAGGTGAAGATTGCTTCTCGCAGCTCCCGAGTTCGCTGGATGGGAAGCGCTCTTCGTCTCTGATTGCCGAGAGATGCACAGGGATGGGCAAGCAGGGGGCTCGGCACATTTAAATAAGGCAGAGTCCCTATGCCGCAATAAAAAGGAGAAGGATCCCCTCAAAATCCGTCCTCGTTTTCTAGTTGGACTAGGATTGAGAGATCTCCGACGGTTAGAGAAGATGCTCCCATCAAACCGAATCCAATCCCCGATATTCCCGCTCAACCGACCTGGAAACTCGCAGCGATTCCCAATCGTAACCACCGAGTCCAATCGTCCACCCGCCATCTGACGACGTCCCTCGGCCCACCGGCGACTTGAATCATCGTCGATGTCGGCGACAAAAGGTGGGTAAGCTCTTGCCAGCAGCGCAACTCTTCCATTGCCTGCCGACCCAATACTAAAATCTTCCCCGAGGGGTTCTGTCTGATTAAACCAGTCTTCTTTTTCAGAAACCCAAAGACGCTCGTTTGTATCAAACAAGCAGGGGATAACAGCCCCTTCCATTACTCGATGCATCTTTGCTGGAAAAGTTTCAGCCCCGAAGGGTGTAAATCGATCCTTAAGGATCTGCGGCTCAAGGCCATCACGACTAGCCCAATTGGGCTTATTACTGTTCTTCGCGAGCGAAGGTAAAACAGTTTCTTCCTCCTCCAATTCCGACGATGAAGGGAGGCTGAATCTCCAAGGATTCCGAGGCCTGCGACAGGCTCTCTTAATGGGGCGATCGACTGGCAGAGTCTCTTCAGCAGGACCCGTACACAGCGAGCGCTTCTTGAGGCGGATCCTTTGATCCCGACGCCGGGCACTTTCACTCTGTTCCTTCTTCTTAAACCGATTCCCCGACTCAGGGGAAAGACATCCTTTTCTACTTTTGCAGAGGGGTTCCCTAATGATCATCTCCACGCACTGAACGGCAGTCGAGGGAAACGATCCCTGCGACCAGGGGCACTGGTTCCGCACACTGACGGAGAAAACACGGACGGCGGCCTGCCATATTTACCGGCCAAGAAACGAAGCGAAAAACAGGAGAGAGGAGAGAGCTCCTCTCATTGTTTGTTTTTTTTTTTCGTGTACTTGGATCGTCTTGGCGCTTCTGTTACTGCAGATAATAATAATAATAATAATAATAATAATAATAATAAGGTGAAAAACTGGAGAAGGATGGCGATAGGCAATTATGCATTTCATTTGCATAGATAAATCAGGACGGCAAAGATGGCGACGTCATTTACGTCGATTAATTACTTGCAGGTTGCGAGGTTTTTACCTACGGGGTCAAGAAAGTGAGTAAATAAATAGGAGAGTGGTGGAGTGAGCAATGACGCTTTCCGTCCAAGATTCGGCCACGTGTACGGTGGATGGCCGGCTCCAATCAGCCCTCTCTCGATTATAAATACAGGTCCGGGCTGAACGTTGAAAATCATCCACAAAACAGAGCAATCGAATTCGATACCATACTCTCTTGCTTTCTTCTTCTTCTTCTCTAAACTCTCAATCCAATAGAAACCATGTCTTGTTGCGGAGGAAAGTGTGGGTGCGGCTCAAGCTGCAAGTGCGGCAGCGGCTGCAACGGCTGCAGCATGTACCCCGATCTCGTCGAGACCTCCACCACTTCCACCCAGATCCTCATCGCCGGCGTTGCCCCGGCCAGCATGTAAGTTACCAATTCCTCTGTGATCCTTTGAACCTTATTATTTTCTGATTTAATCAAAGAAATATTGAATTGGGTCCGAATTTATTCGACTGCGCAGGGGATTTGAGGGCTCGGAGATGAGCTTCGGTGCGGAGAACGGCTGCAAGTGCGGATCAAACTGCACCTGCGACAACTGCGGCTGCAAATGAACAAACCCCCCTCTGAATCTCGCTCGGTTCTATGTATGGTTTCTGTAATAATAAGAATCCTTAAAAAACCCAAGACTAGAAAGTTGTTGTTGTTGTGGTCGGTGTCATAGTGCTTGGCCTGGGCACTGATGTAAATAAAGAAACAGCCACTGCAGAGGGTTTGCTTCCGGAAGGATACAACAAGCTAGGGTAAATCCTTTTGTCAGGGTGTTCTTAATTTGCTGCTGCTGCTGCTGCTGTGCTGTGGCTGGGTTTCTGTTTCTACTTGTTTGTGTGTCTCTTTTAACTTGAATGCCTTGTTGGATTTCATTTCGCCGAGCAGATACTATAATACGGGTGTGTTATGTTTTCCTGCTCTTGCTTTATTATTTCCGACTCCGTAACGTAATTGATCGATGATTAATTGGAACTGGTAAAGTAGGATAAGATCGTTGACACCACTGCTCCACTTGATTATTGCTCACAGTGTCACCGTCGATTGGGCATCTGATACCCGGAAAAGGGATAAACAGAGGAGGAAAAGAATGAAGGAAAGACGGGACTGCTTTAATTGATTGCAAAAATATCTGTTAGTTGGACCTCACACTCTTAACGTTGCTAAGCATTCCCCAACATGATTATCAATAGTAAAGGCTGATCAACACATAAGACAATCAACTACGATGCTTTTTTTTTTTTTTTGTGTGTGTTGGAAAAAATAACGATGTTTTTGTAATTCATGGATTGCTTTGAATTGCATTGGTTGCACTCTTACAAAATTTTGAGCAAGTACTTTGCTGTCTTCATATCAAGGTTTTGAAATCAATCCAAATCAAAACCTAGGTATGTGGAATCAACATAACAGAGGATCTCGACAAAGTTTTGTTAATTTATTGTAGGCCGCATTAAATCGGGATATTTACGGGTTAATTTATGTCTTTGAATAGATAAAAGCACAATGGGGAAGAAAGAAAAGAGGATGTTGAGAAAGGCAATGGAAAAAAAGTTGTCTAGTCTTGCTTTAAATTATTGAGTGTTGGCTGCTAGCTATATGCGACGAACTGTTCTAATCTGTGGTTAATAACATAAAGAAGTTCCGTTCCAATGGAGAAGAAGACAAGAGGTCCTTTCCTTCCAGAAATTAGTTGGCTGCAGCCTGCAGGGCCCTGCTGCATCTGCTCGGGGAAGTACGAGATGATGGATTGTAAGCGAATGCACGGTGGGAATTGGTTTCAAACTGAGGGCAATAATCCTGGATACCACATATCATGATAAGAAGTTGGATCAATGATTACTGAGAAAACTGTTAATTTGGCAAGGCAAAAGTTCTGATACATTTCTTGCTGGAATGGAAGCAGACGCAAAGAACACACAGGAAAGGCCATTAAAGACTCCTCTGGCACTCTTGGTCCACTCGAAAAGCTTGACATACATTGATTCACACAATTAAAGCAGCAACAACACAACATAACGTGCATAATAAAACTCTAATGGCTTCTAATGAATCATTATGTTTTCTGCAGCAAACTTGCTACTTATCCCAGCTTAGACCAGATAGTTGAGGAACTTGGCAGCAGTGGCAATGGCGCCTCCAGTTATGGCATCTGTGACAACCTTGTCTGTGCCCTTGTTTGTGGCGGCAGACATCAGCGCCCCTGTCGCCATCCCTCCAAGCATTGCGTTCTTCTGCAACAACCATATGTGAAACAGAAAATGTAACTTAGTTGTTCACCATTGTAATTGTAATTAGAGGCGAGCAAGTGGTCAAAAAAGGATAGATGAGTGAGTGAATAGAATACCCAGTCTCTTCTTCCTCGGACCCTCTCCACCCCATATTCCATCCCCACGTAAACTCCAGCAACTGTCCCTGCATTCTCATATAAAATACACAACCCATGGCATGGCATTAAGTGGCATTAAGTGGCAGGAACATTGATCCCAGCGAAGACAGATAGCGATTCAAGAATTCATTGCTTACCCCAGTAAGCACCTTCCTTGCACATCTTCTTCAGCTGCCCAGAAAACCGAAAAAGATTTTCAGATCGAAACCCATAAACATAGACAGAGAGAGAGAGAGAGAGATAAACCCCAGGGCAGGGGAGAAAAGTTATATCAATGCAATATGGCTCACCGATTTCTCAAGGTCACTGCCTGACAGCTTTCCTGTTATGAGAAAACGAGCAGGCAAGGTGCAAATAAATCAGAGAAGAAGAGGGGATTTCGATCTTATTAATTATTATCAAAAAATGTGGAGGGGAAATTGGGGACCTTTTCTGGCGGCATGATAGGCATCCTCTCCAAGTGATCTGGTCGCTGCTACCTGCAAACAAAATCTTGCAAAATTGATTTCTTTGGGTTTCAATGGGACACATAAAAGGGAATGGGTATGAAGAGAAATACGCCGGCGATCTTCAAGAAACCATCGAGGGTGTGATCGAGCAAGGGGCTGCCGGTGTCGATTGACAAAGCCACGGTCGGCGTAGTTACAGACCCTGTAAACCTGCTGCTCGGCATCTTCTCTTTCTCTCTCGTTTCGTCGCACTGATCGAGTTTTGTACGTTTTAGTGCCTTGTTCTCTGCACTGGAAATGATGGGAGTGAGTGAAGATATTGGGGCAGAGTACAGACTAAGAAGCGCGGCCATGGCAGAATGTTTGTTTACCAAAACGCCCATATCGTCGTCACGTGTCATCTTTCCAGTTGCTTTCTCATCCCAAGTCGTTAGCCGGGCAACTCGTGCATCGTCCATTCTCCTTCACCCATCCCAATCCCGTTCCGCCGCTCGGCTCTTTTTTGTTTTTCATTTGACGAAAAAACAATTATCATTTTCTAATTTCAGTCGGCAGTGGCTCCAAAGCTGATATCTCGAAATGAAAAGAAAAGAAATCTGGTATGTTCCGGTCCGATGGTTGTCGCAGTTGGAAATACGGGAACGCACCTAATTTAAAGAATTGAATGAATCACTTGAACTTGTGTGGAATTGGTGGAATCTGCTACCCAACAGCTTAAGAAGAAAAAAAAGGGAATATCAAGTTATCAACCATCGAAATCCCATCCATTTCAGCTTTTGATAACCATTTGATCACACTCAAACCGCTAGTAGCTAGTGACGAAAGTACTCTTCTTTTTTTTTTTTTTTACAAATAGTCTCTATATTACCCAATATTCCAACAAAGGTTACAGAAGAGGTAGTAATACATTCAGGACAGAAACTCAATCCAATGGAAGTTGGTTCTTTGCACGAGACCGAGCAACTCAGTCTGCCAATGCATTCTGCTCACGTCTAACGAACTCAACCCGAGCGTCATGAAGGCTACAAAGTGCAGCACGAATTCTGTCAATCCGCGCTGCAACAATCCATGGCCATCTATGTTTTGATCCAGCAATCGCATCCACCATCACCTTGCAATCAGATTTGATCACGAACGGGGAAGGGTTAATCAGCGCAAACAAACATCCTTCATGAATTGCTACTGCTTCCGCTTCCAAAGCAGAATCGCATAGGAGGGAGTCGGCCTTTCCTTCGCACACCTCACCATGGGAATTAGTGACAACAATCTCGTATGCCGCCTCCCGGGAATCGTTGAAGAACGATTCATCACAGTAAATTTCCCCGTAAGGAATTCTTGGCGGTGGTGGGGGATGAGGAGGAGGTGGAGTAGGTCCACTAGACAAAGCAGGGCTATCTTTTCGTTTCCTTGGGCAGTTTTCCATAAAAGACAATCATTCATAGCCTGGGAGATGGTCCGTGGGGGCCAAGGAGAGTGGATTCTGAATATCATCTCATTGCGCGCTTTCCAGATATGCCAGAGGAGAAAGATAGCCGTTTGAGATCTTTCCCGTGGATACGCTTCTCCAACATCCCACAACCCGTAGTTAACTTTGGCAGATGGTGGAGGGAGGGGAAGATAAGGGGCAAACCGTCGTCAGGTCTCCTTTGCATGAGGGCATTCAAACATGACATGAAAGATGGACTCCTCCACATGATCACACAGCGGACAGGCCTTTGATCCTGCACAATGCCTGGCGAACAGGTTCTTCTTGGTCGCTAGGGCATCTCTCAAAGCCTTCCAGATAAAGAAGGTGATCTTAGGTGGGAGAGATAAACTCCAGAGCCATTTCCACTTATCCTTTTCAGCTTGTGAGATCCATGAAGATCCTGAGCTTCCAAACCGGATATGATCATGAAAAGCATGGAATGCCGAGCTTATAGAGAATTCCCCATTATTCGTGAATCTCCAAGCCCAGAAATCTTCCATATCCCGGGATCTAATAGCAATCTTTCCCATTGTATTTTTTATCTCATTTGAAACCACTCCCTCCATCCCTGAAACGCACCATGATCTCTAATCCTGGTTAATGAGCTCTTCCACTTTTCGTCCCTCTTGGTTCGTACTTTGAATGCAGAATCCCGGGATCGAAGGGATCCAAGGATCCGTAAAAATGCCAGTATATTTTTCATTTCCAATCACATTAACCATTCCCAACCTTAACCATTGACCCGCTTCCCATAGGCTTCCCCAAATCCATGATGCTCTACTTCCTTTTTTTGCCTTCAGAAAATCCCCCCTTGGGAAATACAAACCTTTCAGTAGTTTAACCCAGAGAGCATTTGGAGACTCAATCATCCGCCAAGCTTGTTTCGTGAGGAGAGCAAGATTAACAACCGCGAATGGACGGAATCCTAGGCATCCTTCCTCTTTAGGGGCGTAAAGCACATTGCCCACCCTCCAATGGATGGTTTTGTTAATCGTCGATCCTGACCAAAAACATCTTCTAAGCGTTCCATCCATTCTATTTGTAGTAGACTTTGTGAAAAGGAAAAGTGTCATCAGGTAAAAGGGGATTGCCTGAAACACCGCTTTGAGTATGACCTATTTTCCCCCTGGTGAAAGTAAGAGACTCTGTCATCCTTCCCCCTTCTTTTCCATTTTCTCTATCAGAAAGTGGAACATTTCCTTTTTTGAACGTCCCCAAGCATTCGGGATCCCAAGGTACTTATCATGAGTGAAATCCTCTTCAAACCCCAGTAAGCCTCTAATGGTTTGACGTTCCTCACCATTCACATTGAAACTGAAGAACACTGAGGATTTATTCGTATTAATCTCATGTCCTGTAAAAGCTCCTTAATCCCTGATCACTTTCATCAGGTTGACAGCTTCCCTCAGAGACGCCTCGCCAAAGAAAACAGTATCATCCGCAAGGAGGCAATGTGTGAGCCTCGGACAGTTCTGATTCAGCTTCAGTCCTTTTAAGAGTTTTAGCTCAATAGATTTCTCCACCAGAAAGGTGAATGCATTTGTCATGAGAATGAACAGCAGAGGTGACAGTGAGTCTCCTTGTCTGATGCCCCTGGATGGAGTGAAGCCCTCAGTAGGTGATTCGTTAAAAGGGATCTTGAAACTTACAGTTGAGATGCATTCTTTGATCCACGAGCACCATTTCTCATCAAAACCGTAAGCCTTTAATAGGCTTAGGAGGCAGTTCCACTCTACCAGGTCATATGCTTTCTTCATGTCCAACTTAATCATCATATCCCTTTTCTTCCCAAATTTGTGCTTTTTAAAATTGTTTAGCACCTCATGAACGATCACAATATTATCTTGTATCTGCCTTCCCCCTATGAAAGCTGACTGCATCTCGAAATCATATTAGGCAGCCAAACCTGAAGTCTTGTTGCCATAATCTTCGTAATCACCTTATACCTGAAGTTACAGCAGCTGATAGGTCTGAACTGACCAAGACTTTCAGGTCCATCAACCTTTGGGATAATAGTAATGAAGGTGTCATTCCACCCTGGTGCAATACTGGCATTTCTGAAGAAAGCCCGAATCTCCTCACAGAATTTCGTCTCACAAACATTACAGAACCTTCTAAAAAAGTGACCAGGGAACCCATCAGGGTCGGGCGCTTTTGATGCTCCCAAAGAAAAAACCACTTTTTTATCTCATCATTTTCCACCTCTTTACCCAGATCAGAGTTCATCTCGTCTGTAACCACTTTAAGGAATCCATCCATATCAAAACGGAGAGAATCAGCTTCTCTGGCTTTAAAAAGGTTTCGATAAAAAACAGTAGTCATCTCTTTGAAAGCTTGCTGATCATCAATCCATTCCCCCTGATCATTCTTTAATTTATTTATCCGATTGGATCTCTTTCTTTGGATGCAAGAAGCATGGAAAAATGACAAGTTCTGATCCCCCCTTATAGCCAGTTCACTCTCGAGAGTTGTAGCCAAAATTCCTATTCCTTTTCCCAAACTAAACACAATTCATTCGTAAGCTGACGCTCCTCGTCCAATAGGGAGCTGCAGTCTGACTCCTCTTGAATTTGGTTCAATCTTTTTTTGATATTTTCCTCCCTCTTAATTTTTTTTCTTTGTCATTCTATGCCCATCTCGCCAGCCGCATCTTACATTTTTGTAAAGCGCTCATCACATCTCCTTCTTCCGCCCAAATATCCGACACAATCTTAATACATTCCTCTTCAAACCTCCACCTTTTATCAAAGCTAAAAGGGATGTCTTTCTTCTCTTCCACAGAATCGAAATCAACTCTAATGGGGCAATGATCAGATTCTACAAAAATCTCATGAAAGACTTTGGCTCGTTCAAACCTCAATCTCCATGTTGAAGAGCAGAGGGCGCGATCAAGCCTCTCTCTAATCCCTTCATTACCCTGTTGCATGTTTTTCCATGTAAAAACTGGACCATTAAATCCCAAGTCAATTAAGCCATTCTGATCCCAAAAAAAAAATGGGGCTCGATTCTCATTTCTTATGGGGCATCTCCCCTGTTTTTCAAAATCGGACAAGACAGCATTGAAATCTCCTACGAGGAGCCAATCCTCATCCCCCCTTTCCCTCAAGGTTGTGAGGCGATCCCAAAACGACCTTCTCTCCACCGCCGTGGTGGGAGCATGAACAAAAATGCAGTAACACTCATTGCTTCCCAACTAATACAAAACTCAATGTAGAATCTAGAACTATCAACCACCCTGACTGATACATCCTCATTCCACCACAAAGCTAACCCACTACCGCCTTGACTAGGGCTAAAATACTCCGTTTTTGAAAATTTCAATCTTCTTCTTCTTTCCTCCATGAAGCTTGCTTCTTGTATAGTCTCCATCAAGAACAAGATTGATGGCCGAAACCTGCGACAGAGGTTCTTGCAGAAAATCCTTGTAGAGGTATGACCAAACCCTCTACAATTCTAGCTTATTAGCCTCATTCTGCTGGAGGCGGCTCGAGGCTTGCCACCGCTGCCCTTGAGATTGGCCCATGGACCTCCTCGACTTGCTTTCCTGTTGTTGTTATTACGGTGAGGCTCCTCCTCCAGTACACCTTCCTTCTTCTTCCTTTCCCTTGCTCTTCCTAACCTGGGTTAAAATCAAGAGAATCAACACTAAAGTTAGAAAGCTTGGAGATTGCTGGTGAGTTAGCCTCGCCACTCTGTCCTTGGTCCACCTTCCTCTTCTTTAGTGGGATGGCCTGATTCTCAATTGGAGGCTCGCCA